CATCTTTCAATGCTTCATGTACTGATTTTGGGATTGAAATAGAATCTAGTGCTGAAACAAAGCTTTTGTGCTGCACAGAAAGATTAGTAGAAGAAACAAAATGGGAGATAGGATATTGAGTACAAGATCTTTTCCCTTTTCTTAGGGCAATAGGTAAGTTATCAGAAGCAGAAGCAATGGGTAAGTCATCAGAGGTATCAGAAGAAATAGGCAAATCATGAGAGGCAATAATATTAGAATCAGAAACAGGAAATTCAGGACTTACCAGTGGTTCAGGCGATTGGGGTTGCTGGTGAGACAGTATCGGTTGTTTCCTCCTCTGATATACCAATTCAGATGTCAAAATCTTTCGTATCTGTAAAGAACCTTGGGATACACCACCCCAAAAGCTAGCTCAAAGGGTGGGAGTGCCCAAGGCCTTCTAAAGGCCACATTAGTTGCACATACAACCAATGTGGGACTATATATCTCAACAGTTAGAGACTAAAGTGGGGACCGTGTTTTTTGTTAGGGACCAAAAAGGGTATTTACTCAAGCTTTTAAATGTATTTTTCTCGGTTATTCTCGTCTTCAAAAGGGTTATCGTTGTTATTCTCCAGATCTTAAGCGTTACTTAGTTTCCGCTGATGTCACTTTTCTTGATCAACAACCCTTTCATTCTATCCCATCTCAGTTGTCACAGGTTGATCATGTTCTTCCTGTCCCTTTTCTTGACTTGTCTTTGCCAGCTGCAGGTACTTCTATTCCAGATAAGCAACCTATTGCTTCAATTCCTGCGGACCGTCCACTTCTCACTTATCAGCGTCGTAAAACTTTGCCTCCTGTGGACTCGACTCCTGCTGACTCATTGCCCCCTGCAGTTGATTCTTCCCCTCTGGATCCTTCACCAGATGCTCTTCCTATTGCTCAAAGAAAAGGTAAACGTACTACTCGTAACCCTTATCCTCTTTATACCTTTTTGAGCTTTGACCGTCTTTCTTCACCTCATTTCACCTTTGTTTCTAGTCTTTCTTCTATTTCTATTCCTAAAACCACAGGTGAAGCACTTTCCCATCCAGGGTGGCGCCAAGCGATGCTTGATTAGATGACTGCACTTCATTCCAATGGCACTTGGGACCTTGTTTCTGCTCCTCCAGAGAAGTCTATAGTCGGTTGTCGCTGGGTGTTTACTGTAAAAGTTGGACCTGATGGTCATGTTGATCGACTCAAGGCACGCCTAGTTGCCAAGGGTTTTACTCAAATCTTTGGCCTTGATTATGGCGATACATTCTCTCCGGTCGCTAAGATGGCGCCAGTCCGCCTATTTCTTGCCCTTACTGCTGTTCGTCACTGGCCACTCCTTCAACTTGACATAAAAAATGCCTTTCTTCATGGTGATTTGCAAGAGGAAGTTTACATGGAGCAACCACCTGGTTTTGTTGCTCAGGGAGAGTCTGGAAAAGTGTGTCGTCTTCGAAAATCCTTATATGGTCTCAAGCAATCTCCTCGAGCATGGTTCAGTCGCTTCAGTTCTGCCGTTCAGGCGTTTGGCTTAATCCACAGTAAAGTTGATCATTCTGTATTTTATAGGATTACATCTCCTGACAAGTGCATCTATTTGTTAGTCTATGTTGACGACATCATTCTCGCCGGAAGTGATCAAGACGGAATTCGTCAGTTAAAACAGCATTTATTCAGTGCATTTCAAACAAAGGACCTTGGGAAGCTGCGTTACTTCTTGGGAATTGAGGTGGCGCAATCTAGACAAGGCATTTTTATTTGTCAAAGGAAGTATGCCTTGGATATCCTCGAAGAAACTGGTATGTTGGGAAGTAAACCAGTTGATACACCCATGGATCCTAATGTCAAGTTATTGCCCGGACAGGGGGAGTCGTTATCTGATCCTGGACGTTATCGGAGGCTAATTGGGAAGCTCAATTATCTTACTGTGACTAGGCCAGATATTTCTTTCGCTGTTAGTACGGCTAGTCAGTTCCTTGATTCCCCTTGTGATTCACATTGGGATGCTGCTGTGAAGATCCTCCGATACATCAAAGGAGCATCAGGAAAAGGTTTGTTGTATTCAGATCAGGGAAATACAGAAATTTGTGGTTATTCAGATGCTGAGTGGGCAGGATCACCCTCGGACAGGCGCTCTACTTCCGGCTATTGTGTCTTCTTTGGAGGAAACTTAATTTCGTGGAAGAGCAAGAAACAACCTGTAGTTGCTCGGTCTAGTGCAGAAACTGAGTATCGTGCAATGGCAAATACTACCTGTGAGTTAATCTGGTTAAAGCAGTTGATTCAGGGGCTTCATCTTTGTGAACAGAAACAACCCATGACACTCATCTGTGATAATCAAGCTGCGCTACATATATCCTCTAATCCCGTCTTTCATGAGAGGACCAAACATATAGAGATTGATTGTCACTTCATTCGAGAAAAGTTTCAATCAGGAGAAATCAAGACTGCTTTCGTCAACTCCTCTGATCAACTAGCGGATGTCTTCACTAAAGCTCTTAGAGGTCCTCGGGTTCAATACATTTGTAACAAACTTGGTGCTCACAATATATACGCACCAGCTTGAGGGGGAGTGTTAGAATATATTAGATATGATTAGTCTGATTAGATATGATTAGATATGATTAGTCTGATTAGATATGATTAGAGTCTGTAATTATTCTGATTGTATTAGGTCTGGGCCTTTCATATAAGCCCATTAGAGTCTCTATATATTGTAACTCTCTGAATTAGATCAATACACAACATATTATTTTAAAAAAAATTATCCCAAGGTTCTTTACATGGTATCAGAGCTTGAGTCCTCGCCGCCCCCCGCTTTCTCTTGTGGCGTTTCTTAGCACAGGTAGGCTGGGCCTGTTGCATTGTCCACTCTTCAAGCCCAATGAGCTCTCGTGTGAGGGGGCGTGTTGAGATATATAGTCTCACATTGGTTGTATGTGCAACTAATGTGGAGTTTATAAGGTCTTGAGCACTCCCACCCTTTGAGCTAGCTTTTGGGGTGGTGTATCCCAAGGTTCTTTACAGTATTCTAGGGAATGCATTTCATCCATCATAGCCACATGCCATCAATCATGAGACAAGGCCTCAGTGATAGTGGTAGGTGCAATTACACTAACCTTTTAGAGCAATTGGGAGATCACGGCTAGACACAGGAATAGCAGGAATTAAGAAGGAAATAGGGGCTGTTAGAGGTGGTGAATCTGGAGACCCTAGAGCAGCACCACTGGTCACAACTGATTTCTTGGTTCTTCGAACCCATCAGCAAGCACCATGGTTTGATTTGACTCTAGCCCTAACTAAATATGGCCAACCCAAGATGCTGGCCCTCCAACGGCAATCCCTTTCCTAGCACCTGCCAACACGGCTAGGTCCAATTTGACTATACTCCACTTGGCCTTGCCAAGGTAGAATGCTGACCTACAACCAACATTCCCCCCTCAGCATTTGCTAGCAGTTCTGGGGATTGAACTTGTGACCTTGGCTCTTGTTACGGTTGCAAGATTTTTGGAACAACAATCTCACCAAGAAACAGAGGAAAGACAGAGAAAAGAGGAATTTTATTGATGGGTAATACAGTCATGCACTTCTCAAGGGAGATGTTCCCTTTACAATGGGACTAAATCTCATTCACATCAAAATTACACCATATGCCCCCCAAACAGGAAGACCCCTCATTTATATTGTTACATAGTCCTCCAAGTATTTGTAGGGTGCTCCTTAGAATTATCATCCATAACAGCTCTCATACTACTCGTTCGAGAAAATCAAGAATGGGAATGACAAACACACTATGATAGTCCCCCCCTCCCCTTCTCTCTCTCTCTCTCTCTCTATATATATATTATATATATAGAGGAACTAGAATGAACAGTGCAGTAGCAATAAATGCGAGAATATTGACTTCCATAATCTCTATGTTTTATTTCGAATAAAGAATTCGGGACCATAGGTGCGATGATTTACTTCACGGGCAAGGTCTCTGGTTCAAGTCCAGGATGGCCCAGCTGCGCCAAGGAAGAGAGAGAGAGGAGGAGGGACTAATGTACACCTGTGTAAGTCAAAATCACTATTACACCATTCAATAACTAATGCACCTTTGAATTGGAAGTTCCTATCATATAAATCGTCTAAAATATTATATTAATCCAAAATTATTTAGTACTTCTTTAGCATACATCAAGATTAACGTGATATGTACTTTTGAAATATATGAAAATATGAACAATATGGTTTATATTGTTATTTTTGTTCATTTTGTACAAGATTTGACACAAACAATCATGATAATAGGCAGTTAAAATTCAATGGTTGGATCGATAAAAATCATATTTTATATAAAGCTATTAAATTGTGCAATCATAATATATATATATACATATATATATATATATGTATATATATATATATGTATATATATGTATATATATATATGTATATGGGGACAAAGAAATTAATTTGGCTGGTAAAAAATATTATAGTAACTATTCCCTAACGTATTTGATCAATCACTTTTACCCTCTATTCTTGTATCGCTGTGTGTCAAATACCAACTCTCAAAAGTTTAAGCTAGTAGGTAAAGCTACAATTATGGTTTTCTGTTTCTAGCACATCCTCTCTAGCATCAAATTTGGGGCTTGAAATGTTGACAATGCATAATCCCACTTTAGCATATGCTCAAATCTAATTATGAAGAATGTGAGTGGTAAGCATTGATCATTTTACCACTTGGTCATATTGGCTCTCATACTATTTATGTCAAAGGCCAACTCTTAAAAGCAAAAGCTAGTAGGGGAAGTCTATATTTCTTACAAGAAGTTACCCTGTTGAGAGGAAAGTAGATATTGTTTTGTTTGCGTGGTGTTGTTCAACTTGAACTTTATTTGGTCCTTCATATTGTAGTATCTATCGTGGACTAGGTTTGCATTTGGTTAAAAACTAGGTCCTTGGTAAAATTATTTATACACTGTTCACGTGCATTTATTATTATCTTCATACAGGTGAATGGAGTGAAGTCAAACCTTTCTCAGATTGGGTGTGATGTTGAACTTATACATAAAATGATATCTGGGCTGGTAAGTTACTAAACTCACTGCTTTCTTTGTTGTTCTGTTTTGCTTTCTCTTCTGTCTTTTAAGCATCCAATCAACTTGAATTGTCACCTTGTTGATGTTCTAACTCTGATCTATTGATTAACTTGAAAGGAAGGGAAGCTCAAGCTTGTCGAAGGCAAGCAGGTTATAAATTTAGCTCTTCAGACATGGGTTACATTCTAGCATTTGTTTTTCAAATTTTAATATTTTTATTTCCCTCGTTTTTTCTTTAAAAAATATCATGCAGGACATGACTAATTCAGGTCTCTGGTATTTATGCCAATTTGCTGAAGGAATTAACGATGGGCCTGATGGTAAAGTTTTTAAGGTCAGATGCTTCATCCTAGTATGTGTTTTCCTCTATTTTCCATCTAGTAGAGGGTATACATTAGTACCCCGAGGGGCGGCATAGCTAGTAAGCGGGCTGTGCCTAAGGATCAGTTAGGGTTGAAAGTTCTATGGTTTGATTCCTAGGCAAAGCACTTGGGGGCTAGTGGAAAAAACCTTCGCACTCTATGCAATGAAGGGGATTAGTCTCTTTTAGAGAATAATATAAACCATTAAAAGGGTCCTCATCTAACACCTTAAGATTTTGGGTTGAGATAGTTCTTTACATGGTATCAGAGCATCGGTGATCATAAGGTCACGGGTTCAATCCTCACCGTCCCCCACTTTCTACTGGAATTAAAATAAACACAAAGTAAACCAAAAATTGGGCCTGTGTAATATTTACGCTTCAAGCCCAAAAGACTCTTGTGTGAGGGATGTGTTAGAGAATAATATAAATTATTAAAAAGGTCTTCACTCAACACCTTAAGGTTTTGGGTTGAAATTGTTCTTTACTGTCTCATCCAAATGGGTGGAGACATTCCTAGGAAACTCCAAAAAAAAAAAAAAGACATTCCTGGGAAACTCCAAAAAAAAAAAAAAAAAAAAAGTGTATACATTAGTCACAAAAAGGGATTCTGGAGATTTTTTCAGAACGGTTTTATGATTTAGGATTATCTAAATGCAGCTGCCATTTAGCAGTTAACATGTTGAAATTCATTGTCATTATGAAAAAGAATACTAAACTTCTAAATTTTCTTCTGCATATAATGTTTTTATGAGTGATTTGACAGGTTATTGAGGAACGTACAAACCATACAACAATGACACTCGGGGAGAAATCACTTGAGGTTTGTCAACTCGGTGTGATGTTTTCAAAGTTAAGTACTGATACCTAGTCATACATGTCTTATTGCAAGTATGTTTCAGGGGCTGCAATTCATTGCTAAAACAACAGAGACAGTTGAGAACTCACCCATAATAACAAGGAAAGTTGGTCTTAATTCTTCAAATGAAAAAGAACCTGTTTCCAAACGAAGAATACACAGGTCATTTCCTGTTGGCATTTCTGTGAGCAAGGGCATTGCGTTTGGTGTGTGATTAGTCTTTTGCTTGAAATTATTGCTGATCAGCCTGCGTGATCACACAAAATTTGGGATTGCGAGATATTTATTACGACTACCAAAATTTCACAGGCACAAAAAGGAGCACCATCAGTTCAACATTAATCAATTTGTATCTCTTGTATATGCAGTTTCAAGAACGGTTAAATCCAGCCATGTCTTTGATTCGCTTGATTTGTTAAAAAATTGAGATAACAAAACACCAAAAAAGTTGTACCTTGTGTCCTTTTTTGATGTTTAAAAAAATATAAGTACTACGCAGGTTAAAACAATGCATAATGCAAAGCATATTATCATACATTTTGCTTTATTTTGTTTATGAAAATCACAACTTTCGGATAACTATAGTAAGAGAAATGGCCCAAGTACATAAATGATGGGTATGCTATGACATTATAACTATCATTCTCATGATTACTGTATTATCTTAACGTGAATTTTTTTTAATATATTAAGAAATATAATAGTATTTACCATTTTTTTGTGCATTTTGACTTGTCACTCATTGACCCAAGAACTTGATTAAGATAATTACTGGGTTGAGTTTAGAACATTGTCCTAGGCCATAAAACCCTTCCTCTCGTTGATTTATTTGTCATGGGAAGAGAGAGATACAATCCCACAAAATTTGATGCGATGTCGCACGTAATTGGTCACATTATTTCTATTTATCTCTTTATACAATCTGAACATAAACAAATTCATTGATGTAAAAAAGATGAGTTTATCAACAAAAAATAAAAATAAAAAACTAATGTCAAATCATATTCTCGTTACCTATTTCTTCTTTTACCATTTTTCTTATAAATATTTTTAAATCTTATTTTTAGTGGCAACTGCTCCAAGTGATAAGGAATCCAATTTTTCGAGGTATGATTCCATATGAGTCTCATGAATAAAATAATAGGTTCTTGATACTTTTGTACTCTATGGGGTCCATCTTTCCAACTTGAATTTGTCAGGACTTAAAAAGACTTGACAATGCTAGAATAAGAGCACTAAATGAGTTTGACTAAATTATAATTTTTTGATTTTTTCATTCTCTTATGTGGAAATATTTTAAACTAATAAGAAACACTATAATATTTATTAATTATTTATAGATTTGACTTGTGTCTCATTAACCCATAAATCATGGGATAGTTATAATTGATTCGAGTTTTAGAACATTCTCCTATGCCATAAATTTTTTTTGAAGATCGTGGCTTAAAGTAATTTCCAAATAAGTATTAGAAGAAGAGTGTTGGTCTACATTTATTCAACAAATGAGTTTGACTAAATTATAATTTTTTTTATTCTCCCTATTATTTATTATTTTTGAGATATATATACATATATATTATTTTCACAATTTCTACTCGTGTGTGACAAAGGTCAAGGTCCCCTCAACAGTGCTTCTCCAAGGATTAAATTTTCGATCTTGAAGTTTAAACAGTCATTTTAGCCACCGCGACTGGCACTCATGAAATATATTAACTTAACATTTAATGTATATTGTTTTCTATTAGGAAAAATTATATATAATATTTATATTTTATTTATGTAGTTTGACGTGTGACTCATTAATCCAAAAACAAATTGATCTAATTAAAATTGAATCTGAAATTTAAAACATCGTCTTAGGCAAGTTGTTAAAATCGAGATTTTACCTAAGATCGGAAGAGGGTGAAAAATCATAAATTGTAAGATCGACATGGATCGTAAAATCGACATTATTTAAGATGCAAAAATATATTTAAATATATATATATTTATATGTTTAATAACAGATAAAAATTATATTTAAATCAGTATTGAATTTAATTAAAATAAATAAATCATAATCAAATGATTTAACATTCAATTTTTAATTTTATTTTTGATAAATTCATTCAGTTTTTATTTAAGAAATTTAATTATATAAAGGTCTATTTTGCTAATTTGAATCAACACACAACCGTGAGAACTGACAACAGTGAAAGCTGTGAAAGTACAAAACTAAAAATTCAAAAGATAAAAAAAAGGAACATGAGTAGGATACATATGGTGCAGGCGAGAACTAAAGAGTAAATTACATCTGTCCTTTTCTCTCTCTTTAATGAGATAAGAAACATGTGGTAGTGTGGTATTGAAGATGAAAACATAACTCTCTCTTCAATGGTCGATTGCAGCAAGAGCACACCAGTGTTCTCTTCATCTCCGATGTGGTCTTGACTATGACAACCGCATTCTCTGTTTCACTCTTTCTCTCTCTCCTTTCTTTCTGTCTTTCACACTCATTTTTCTCGAACATTTTTTGAATCACTCCAAACGTATAGATCATTCGATTCCACGTTTTTACGAATTTAATCGGCGATCCTGAACGATCGTATTCTTTCACGATCCTGTGACCGAGCAGGCGCGTCCATGGTGAAAAACTCGTAAACTCGTACGATTTTATGAGTTAAAACGCGATTTTACCAACCATGGTCCTAGCTATAAAATGTAATGAATAAAAATTGGTTAAGGATTTGGAGCTTAATGTGACTTCCCATGGCAATAAAAGAATAATATTGTGTTTGACTAAATTATAACCTTTTTCATTCTCACAGTAGATACATGGAAATATAGTTTCTTATATTATATAAAATAAAATAATCTCATTCACACACATAAAAGTGGGTGAGATACACTTATTTTCTTTTTCTCTCTTCTCCTTAGTGAGTCACATTTATATTTTTTTTATGTACATCAAACAATTTTATCTCAACATGGAAAACTATATTACCTTAATATATTATCATAACATTTCTACGGATATTGTTGTCTTAAAATGTTTTAAACTAAAAAGAAATTGTATAATATTTATCATTTTTTATGTAACCATAACTCATTACAATAATTATAATTGATTCAAGTTTTAAAATATTATCTTAGACCTTAAAATGTAATAAATAATATTTTTTTATGAAATCGACGCTTAAAGTGACTTCCAAATAAGTATTAGAACAAGTATTTGTCAAGAGTCATTTAGTAAATGAATTTGACTCAATTATTAAAAAATTTTCATTCTCACAATTAATGTATTAACTTAACATTTACTCATTTTGTGAAAATGCTCTTAACTAATAAGAAATGTTATAATATTTTTTATTTATTTTGTTTGACTTGTATCTCATTAATTCCATAATTCATTAAGATAATTATAAGTTCCTTGACAAAACAATATATAGCAATGTTATTAAATCCGACTTGGACATCGATCCGGTCGAGGAATTGGGTCACTCGTAGGACCGGTTGACCCATATATATATATATATATATATATATATATATATATATATATTTAATTATATTCACCATATCTAAAATGAGTTATATTTAATTATATTCACCATATCTAAAATGAGTTAAACAAGGTTCACAAAATTATTCAATCACACTTTTACAAGTTTATAAAGCACAAATAAATGAAAATGCACATTATTACTATGTCAATTTAAATTGAAACTCATAATCTCCATAAACATAACTCTTAATAGGGGTGTTCATCAACCGATCTAAACCAATTCAAACCGCGGTGACCGAACCGAAAAATCAAAAACTGAATTAATCGAAAAATTGAAAACCGAAAAAAAATCGCAAAATTTAATTGGATTAGATCGATTTTCGGATGGGTTGGTAAAAATTGATCCAATCCAAACCGATCCAATTATTCCCTAACCTTACCATCTACCTACTTGGGTCTTTCCCCAATCATAACCCAAAAATCATATAGCAAAATTCTAAATCCAAGAGCCATCAACCCATCATGTTGGAGAAAGTGGGTTATGTTTGATCTATGTTATTTTTTTTGGGTAAGATACATAATATATTTTTATTACATAGGTTTTTGTTCTACAACAACTCCTCTATAGGATGAAACAATTTTTATTTTTTTTTATATTAAAATGCATGACCCAATCGGGTCACTGAATTTGACCGGGTTTTGACCGGGTCAGGCCGGTTTCATAACACTGATATGTAGGATAAAAAAGGTTATTTAGTTAAATCCCGATAACATTTTACAAAAATTTTATTAATCAAATTTGATAGGAAAGTATTATATAGTTTTCTTAATTACATTTATATTTATGATGAAGTTTTATTTTATTGTTATATTACTGAAAATAATGTCATTCCATCTTAATTCGGTGGAGGGAAGAAAATAAAGATAGTATTCACGTCCATCCCCTTTCAAGCTAAAAACAATAATTCGATTACCAATAAAAAAACAAAAAAAACAAATAATTCATGTCCAATAGTCGAATAGTTGGCTAAAGACAAATTATTAAAAAAGAAATAGTGAAATATTAATAAGATGATGTACAAATCGACCCAAGTTTCATGTATATTTCCAATGAATAAAAAACATGGACAGGTTCAACCAGCTAGTGACATCATCAATTGAGGCAACTACTAAAATAGAATGGCATAATAACATAAATGAAAACTATGAACGACACAAAATATAGATTGAAACAATCATGAAAATGGCAGTTGTAGCTTAGGAGTTTTCACCAAACTTATCCACTTCGACAAACACCTCATCATATCTTTGGACCTAAGTACATGTGATGAAAACCATTATCAAGCTATGACAAGGGTATGTTATATGATATTTTAGTGCACTAAGCAGCAAAAAAAATCTAAGCTTAGAAGTTATAAGTGTATGAGTAAAGGATTTCTCCAGTCACCGGAGATAAAATTTTCTCCAGTGAGCTCAAAACGACGTCGTTTTGGGACGAAAATCAAGGTATTTTTGTAATTATAATATATTGCAGAGTTATATTAGTCTTTATCATTATAATTTTTTAATTTTATAACCGCAAATTTGAACTAACCAAAAAGTTTATCGTAGCATTTTATTTTATGCATTTGACGATATTTATTGCTAGGCATTGGAAGCTCGGTTGTGTAAAAGAATTAAATTCTTTTTCCTTCGCATTGTAAGTATTTTTTTTCTTCCTTGTTGGATTTGATCCTTCTCCTAACACAGTCATTTTTCTTCCCTTCCTTGTCGAAGTTGATCCTTCTCTCCAACAACGAAGATAAGTAAAATGATTGCATCAAGAGATGAATAAAATCCAACAAAAAAGAAAAGAAATACTTCCGATGTGAAGGGAAAAGGCCCTTATGTAACTTTACGCATTAGAACTTCCAATGCCTAGGAATGAATATAGTAAATGCACCAAATAAAATGGCTATGATATGCTATTTGATTAGTGTGAATACATTTAAACTTCTAAGCATATAATTAATTTATTATTGTTTAATGCACAAAATATTATATAACACTCTTGTAAAAAGGAAATAACAATT